ACAACAATGTGTGTAGGTTAGACATGCAAAGACTATGTTATTTTATAGTATGGACTTGAGTGTCCAATTATTTTGGTATCCTTGGAGGATCCTGAAATAAAGCCCCTGGGTATTAAGGGATAGCTATGTGAACTTGGGCACATTTCTTGACTTCTCTAAGCCTCAATTTCCTCACTGGGTACTTGGGGATAATAACATTGACCTCAAAGGATGGTTGTTGGATTAGAAGAGGTAACGTCCATCCAGCACTTCACACTAAACAGTGGGAGCTCAGCGGACGGCAACTGTTGCTGTGGTGGTGGTTGTTGTTATTTTTACTGTTAATTCCACCTGTAAAGAGTCTAGTTGGGAGGATGTTTTCCTCTGATGCCCTTTTTTTTTGAATCCCAGGAAGGTTATGGTGGGATGTTCTCATTCCACTTCGCACAGAGCCATCCTGGCTGTTAGCAGGATTGGATTGGTCATTGAGTCCAATTTCTTTACCGATACTAAGGGGTAAAAGATGATCAAAGTCTCCTGAACTGCATTACAGACATCCTAAGCTGCCAGCAGCAACTCTTTCCATGATATAAACGCCATCCGGCTGCCCCAGTGCATCGAAACCACCAGCTTCCAATTATCCCCTGGCAGAGCTCAAAGCGCTTCCTTTTTGGAAGCTGAAAAGTAATCATAGTTGTCATTCTAAATTGCTACCTTTTCTATTGATTTCCACATTATCATAGCACAAGGAGGCTCCTTGAGAACTTGGATCGAGAATCACTTTTACTGTGTATTGTTAGGCATTTTCTCCTTTCATGGACACGGAGACTTACATGGGTTGTTGGCAAAGAAGGAAATCTTAACGACCTTCAATGTTGTTTGCGTTTAACGGTTCATCTCTCTGCAGTGTTATGTCTCAGCCCTTTTCCATTTGAGGTAGCTTAATTTTGAAAATATATAATGCTAATGTTTTTGCCCTTCGTGGCACAACTTTTAATCCCCAATTGTAGCAAGTAGAAGCGCCTGATTTTTCATATGTCCCTCTATACATTTTTGGGGTGGTTTTATTAAGTAGAGGTGTAATGGTGATGAGGTATGGCATTTTCTCACTTGTCACTGGTTGGAACACTTGTCCTGCTTGTCCAAGCTTTTCTCTCTGACACCCAGATCTCATTCTGGATTCCCAGAATTTGGCATCCATCCAGAGGAGCCCAGTTATTCTTGAGAAGTATCTTCATATAGAAGCAAAGTTTCTCTGGGACTCTGAGTTGGGGCACCAAGGGCATGAAAGAACTGAACAGAGTAAGAGGAGGAGCTGTGTTATCGGAAATGTGGGAAACGTATATACATAGTGGGCCCAATGAAAGGGAAGGAATAATTTGATAATAAGGCTAGCATTTGTTGAAAAATTTGATGTGCTGGTCACAATACAGGCACTCTGAATAGTAGCACCTAAGAAAAATATTGAGTGCTCATGAGGCAAGAAAACCATGCTAAGCATTTTACAGGAATTAGCATTTCATCTTCAGAAGAGTCTGAGGCTTTGAGCTGCAGTCACTAAGATCAGTCAGTTGGTAAGCATCATCCTACTTTGAGCTGAGGATACCAGGAAGGATGAATCAATGAGATTGAAGTTGGTGATAATCAACACAGAATGGATATAGGTAAGCTTTTTCAGAGGACAGCCGCCTAAGAGGTACATATAAACATGGTATAAAAAAAATCAGAATGTTTTCTAAACCTCACTGAGGAAATTCTCTCTCCCTGCAAAAAGGCAGGTACCAATTTAATGTGTAATTAGTAGAACACCATAATCTTGGAAACTGAATATGACTGTCATGAAAATGTTAGAGTCTGTAAACAAGTCAGGATGGCGCCTGGCATTTTGCCAGAGGGAGTGGTTTGTGAAGTAATGCCAGCGAGCCATTAAGTGTGGAGATTCCTTATTGGTTGACTAATGTATCTAGTTTATGTTAATTAAGATAAGCTGTGTGGAATGTATATATACCCCTCCTGTCCTACAATAAACGGCTCCCACTCCTGCTGTATCAATCTACACAAACTGTTCGTCACCCCCCGGTTATTTTGCTGCAGCCGGCCTGCGGCATGAAAAGTATTTTGAGATGACAGATTTGTAAAGCCTAGTGAGAATTTTTCTAAGTCTTCCTGAGAAAAAAGGATGCATAGATTCAGAACGATGGGAATGTGGCCAGTGGTGGCCTCGGGGTTGCTGGAATGCAGTGCTTCTTGAATGTACCCACTAAAATTCCCTGATGGCAGACTTAAACTTGTGTTCCTGAGATCTGGGCATTGCTCCAAGGTCTATTTTATCCTAAAAATTACATAAAGAAGAGGCATAAATGGCCAACAGAGATGCTCAACATCATTAGCCATTAGGGAAATGCAAATCAAAACTATAGCGAGACACCACCTCAAGCTCATTAGAAGGGCAACTCTAAAAAGACCAGCAAATAACAACTGTTGGTGAGGATGTACAGAAATTGGAATTCTTGTGCACTGTTAGTAGAAATGTAAAATGGTATAGCCACCGTGGAAAACAATATGGCAGTCCTTCAAAAAATTGAGAACAGTTTCCATATGACCCAGAAATTCGACTCCTGAGTATGTACCCAAAAGAACATGAAGCAAGGACATAAGATACCTGCACTAGGTTCATAGCAGCACTAGTCACAATGGCCAAAAAGTAGAAGCAAAAGCAACCCAAGTGCTCATTGGCAGACGAATGGATAAACAAAATGTAGTGTATACATACAGTAGAACATTATTAAGGCTTGAAAAGGAGGAAATTCTGGTGTATGCTATAAGGACCACACCTTAGGACATTATGCTAAGTGAATCATACCAGTCATAAAATGACAGATACTAAATGATTCTATTTATAGGAAATATTTAGAGTAGTTGCATTCATAGTAACAAGTAGAATGGTGGTTGCCAGAGCTGTGGGAAAGGAGGTTAGGGGAGTTATTTTTTAATGAATACAGAGTATCCATTTACAAGATGAATTGAGTTCTGGAGATTGGTGGCCCAACAATGTGAATGTTCTTAGCACTACTGACTGTACTAAAAGTTGTTAAAATAATGTTATGTTACATATACTTTATCACAATCAAAATAAAAATCATATTTGTATATTATATTATAATCATATTTATATACAATTATATATATTAACTATATGAAGAAAATTTCTCTATATTCTACCCATATCTCAGAGAATGAATGTAAAAAAGAAGCCTGTGTTTACCTTATTTCCTTTATTATTTGTACTCTGGATTTGCATATCATGAACTAGGAAGATGACTATAAGGAAAACGAGTTCTCCTTCTGATCATGTCTTGTTTTCCCCAAGCTGGTGTTCACCTCAGGAATGAACATGTAGACCAGCAAGCCCGAGTGGCCTGGGCCACCCCATTTCCTGCCACTCGCTGCAGGTTGGTAAGTTAACATTCTTAAGAATGAAGCAGCTGAGAACTTAACCAGCACAGATCAAACTCCTGGGATGTGATCCCCCTGGAGTGAAGGGACAAGACAGAAATGCTCAACCTGCCAACCTAAGGACAAAGCCTTGTGTTGATCTTGACTCCAACCACTGCCACCTCTCCCCAGGGGGTCCAATTTGAAACAAACTTTAGGCTCTCCTGTTAACACACTGGGGAGGGGGTGGGGGAAGATAGTCAGGTGACAGAGAAGGGTGCCAAGTAGGAGACAGGACTCAAAATGCCAGCAAAGAGAGACTGAAGGACAAAAAGCAGCACATCCAGAGGAGACATCTCAGTGGCCTTAAAGGGGGAACATGGAGCAAAGGAGAGCAATAAGGAAACTCACCCTAGGGTGCAGGCTTATGAGGACAGCAATTTATTAAGTGCCAGAGTAGTGCAGACGTTGAGGTCGGCACAAACCCACAGGTGCCCTAAGTAGACTACTACAAATGGAATAAATAATGTGGATGGAGAGGTGATGTAACATGCCGGTTAAGAACATGAGTTCTGGTGCCACACTGCTGGGCCCTGGGTCCCAGCTCCACCCATTCCTGGCTCTGTGCCTTGAACAAACTGTGTATCCTTAGATTCCTCGCCTGTAAAACAGGCATAAAACTAGTGTCTGCCTCAGAGGCTTGTTGTTAGGACACAATGAGTAACTAACACCCAAGGAACACTGAGGTCGGTACCCAATATCAGTAAAGCAATGGCACACACACACGTCACAATAACAATTTACCAAGCTCTATTTAGGAGCAACTCCCAGGATGGGGCATGGAATCTATATATGCACAAAGCATTGTCTTAGCATGATCTATGGTTTATCCAACTACAGGTCCTTATAAAGATACAGGTAGATAGTATGGTAGATAAATGAAATTCAAACTAATTCAGATCGTTATGCTAAATCATGGGAGCAATTACTACTAAATGAAATAATTATGAATAATACTTCTGCAGGGTTACTGTGAAGTGGGCGTTCTTCTGGTACCTCACAAATATCAACTCATTTAACTTTCATGAGAACTCTAGGAAGTAGGTTAAGTTTCATATTCGTTTTTTTTTCCCACTGCTAGAGAAGGTAAGTAACTTGCCCAAGTCCAGAGGCCAGCAGGTGGTAAAGCTGGGATTCAAAGTCAAGCCACCTGGCTGAAGCCCAGACTCTGGGCCACCAGCCTGCACAACCCCTTCACATGCGGCTCTGTGATGCCTTCTGACATTTAAATTGGGTTTCACAGTTGAAAGTGTAGGAAGACACCAGCGAGTGAAGAATGAGGTCTTCACTCATACTGTCCCTCCTGGCCTTCCCAGGAGGGACAGTAGAAAAGAAGATCCATTCTTAAATGTGTTATGGTTGGACATAAGGGATTCTCAACAGGAATAAAAGGCTTGGCTTTGGACCATGGGTGAAGAATACGATGGGGATGGAGAAAAATCTTTGTTTCTAAATCCCAAGGTGGCTTATCACTAGAAGTCCTTGGAACCCACAGATGATGGCAGGCAGGGGGACGTCTGACTTACCGGCCGGGGCAGACTGTACTGGTACATTTCTGGGCGGTAGGTGGGCACCCACTGCACCCCGGCCCTGGGCCGCGTCATGGTCCCTGGTGCACTGGTCACCACCTCTGAGTAGGGCAGGTGCTGGGCAGAGCCATAGGCCTCCTGGTGTCGGCTCTGGCCTGCGTGGCCCGCGGACGCCAGGCTGAAGGCCTCCTCCAGGAGCATGTGCATCTGTTGCCTGACCTCGTCGATGGAGGGCTGGGAGCTCAGCGTGGAGGTCTCCGAGTGGCCTTTCACCTGCCTCGACCTGGCGTAGCCCCGCGGCTCGTGAACTCTGTCAACGTTGGTTTCCTCTATGATTTCAGGTTCAGTCTGTGGGACCAAACAAAGCTCATAAATTCCTCGGTGAAGCTCTCTCCCATGAAGGTGGCCTTTAAGATTTATTCTAAAATATTCACTCGGATTGGCAATATTAGAATCAGAGCTAATTTAATTCATATCCTAGGTGCCTTACCCAGGAATTCACATGAGAGGGGCTGTCAGCACGCATTATGTGAGAAGGGCCACCCTCCAGCTGTCAAGGTGCATGGGGGCCTTCCAACCAGAGACCCAAGTGCCGCAGACTTGGCTAATTAGCATACCATTAGAAATGGCTTTCATTGATGAAATTAGTCATATTGTCTAAAATCTTTTATACCTTTGGGTATAAGAATCTGGAGCATCCTGTCATCTGCACCCCAAGGGATGGCACTTTAGACAAACTCTTTAAATGGTCCTGCGTCTAGCCAATTGGTTAGGGAATTTCTGGATGCCCGATGCTAGTTATAGGAGAATAACAAAAAGCTACTTTGAGATTGCTGGTCTCAAGATGGGGTGTGTGATAAATTAGAAACTCTTGAGGTGGGGCTCCGCAATCTGGGTTTTAATAAGCACTCCAGGGGATTCTGATGTCTGCTCAAGTTTGAGATCCAGTGATCTAGAACGTTCTCCTGCCTTTCCCCATGGGTCCTTTCATTCAGGGAACAGCTGCAGAGCCTAGGTGGGCAGAGAGCTGGGACTTCATCTGTTCCCAGAGCATGCTCCGTGGACTGGCAACTTCTGCTGGCCTACTGATGGATGCTGGTCTAGTAAGTGTCTGCTCTTTGTTCTGTGATTTCCCTGCCTCTGTTAGCTGGGATGCCTGTGGGCGTCCATTCCACCAGAGTGACCCTGCACAAACCTCAGAATGCAAGAATGCAAAAAGCCAGAGAGAAGGGCGTGGTCAGGCAACACCATCCTCTGCTTTGCAGTGCACGCCATAGCAGAAGTCAGATCTACGAGGAGCACTGAGAAGCTAGAAGACTGGGCATTAAAAATGATCCAGCCAGGAAAGTTGCTTTAGGTTTTTGGTGGAGGATTGAACCCAGGGCCTCACACATGCCAGACAAATGAACTACCACAACTGGACGTGGTGGCGCGCACCTGTAATCCAGCGGCTCAGGAGGCTGAAACAAGAGGATCACTAGTTCAAAGCCAGCCTCAGCAAAAAGTGAGGTGCTAAACTTGACCTGAAATTAAAAATTCTGTCCAATTTCCCAGGGCTTGAGTTTGAGGTTAAGATAGAAAGTTCACCTTCTCTAACACATTTCTTGAATGCTAATGAGCTGCATGACCCTAAGTAGGGTCTCAGTGAGACCTGTCTCTAAATAAAATACAAAAAATAGGACTGGGGATGTGGCTCAGGGGTTGAGTGCCCCTGAGTTCAATCCCTGGGACCCCCCCCCGACCCCCCCCTCCCTAAAAAAAAGCACTACCACAGAGCCACATCCCATCCTGGTGTTTCAGTTTATTTGATAAAATGAGGATAATACTGCCTCTAAGGGTTTTATAAAGATAAAATAAATGTGCATGTAAAGATTTATAACAGTAGCACAGGGTAAAGACAGAATAATGGTAGTCACTGTCATTATCATCATCATTATTACTTTTACTCATTCAAATGCAGATATTCTTTTGTAATTACTATGTGTAAAAGAATTGGATGTATAAAATGAGCACATCAAGAAAATGCCATTAGGAAAATCATTACTATTCTTCTGCCCTTAAATATTACACATTAAGGTCAAACTGTGAAATATTTCATTTTTAAAAGTGTAGCATTCAATTAATACATGCTCATTAGGGAAGATACTGAAAATACAGAAAACACATAAAAGAAATTCGACATTTCCTATAATCTTATCACCCAGAGTTAGGACTTGGCTATAGCTCAAGATCAAGTAAGGTTCTCTATCAACTTTCTAGATTTATTAACAAACATCTACTGTAAGAAATCTAAAGTACTGCTTTTATATTGGATTAGGGAGTCAAATATAAAATTACCCTTGTAATAACAAGAATTCAAAAACATGTCACGATGGGTGCATGTCCCCAGGCCATGGGCTAGGGGACACATTGGGCTCTTCTGCTGTTACTTCTGCTGTTAGGGGATCTGCCGGGAAAGGCTTGTGATCGCTGTCTGAGAAGTGTGGTCTCTGAAGTCCAGCAAACCTTTATCTCCTCCTTAAAGGAGGAGATAGATACAATAATAATATCAGTTGGCCTTTCTTAATAGCTCATATAACTAGACACTATTCTAAGAGTTTGATTCTTTCCATCCTTATAATAACCTATGAGATAATATTAACAAGCATGATCATTCCCACCTTTTTTTGCCTGGTGGTACCTTCTAGGATAAAGAATTCTGTAACTTGTAAAGAAAGTTTCTTCATAATGCACAGAATATTCTGAACTGAATTTCAAAGCCTGAAGAGAGGGTGGGGTTATATGAGTAAGGTGGGTGGGAAGAGGCCCCTGAGGAGACTATTCTCCAGGTTTCCACTGCCATCCACCCCACTCCACAGAAATTAACCTCTCTTCTCCCCACAGGGTTTTCATTCTGCATTCAGATGGGGGCGTTAACTGGAAGGTCCAGAGTCACAACCCAAGTATGATCTCATTTGGTTTTCTCAAGCCACATTCTAAAGAACTCCTATTCTCCTTCAGTTCTCAGTTGATATTTCAGCCTCTCAATATCTACAGACGGAAACAAGACTAGCTCTCACTATACCCTGGCTTCCTCTAATCACACTTAGATTCATTTAATATCTGTCTTGTGCCAAACTAGATACTCCCTGAGCCCATGCACCAGTTTCTTGGGAGCCTAGCAGGAAGAACTTGGAATTCAACAAAGCTGTGAACTTGACCTGAAATTAAAAATTCTGTCCAATTTCCCAGGGCTTGAGTTTGAGGTTAAAATAGAAAGTTCACCTTCTCTAGCACATTTCTTGAATGCTAATGAGCTGCATGATCCTAAGCAACTTCCTGAACAGACCTAAGCCTCAGACTCCTCATCTGTGTCATGGGAAGGCTGAACTATGATCTGATATTTGCCACCTTGTGGACTCTGTCTGCTCTGGAAGGTGCTACACTACTCCAATTGACATTCTTAAAAAAAAAAAAAAAAACCAAAAACCTGATGTCTACTTGTGAAGGGAAACCCCCTTCACCCTCCCTGCCTGCAACACACGAGGGGTATATGTTTTCTCTTTTACTTAATAGACAAGTGGTGGTTTCAGCTCTATGTTAAGTCCTGAGTTGGGGTAGTAAACAGCTCTCAGGGAGCTCCCTAAAGGAGGAGATAAATACAACAATAATAATACCAGTTGACCTTTCTTAATAGCTTATATAACTAGATGCTATTCTAAGAGTTTGGTTCTTTCTATCCTTATAATAACCTATGAGGTAATATTAACAAGCACGATCATTCCGACCTTTCAGATGAGGAAATTGAGGCATTGAAAGATCAAATATGGAGAAAAGGCCCAGTGGCCCGCGGCGGGACAGAGCTTCCAATCACTCCTGCAAGGTAGGTGGGCCTGCAACCCACCGGCAGAAGAGGAGCAGCGGCCTGCTGAGAGGCAGAGCCACCCACTCCCCCTGCACCGGCAAGGTAGAGGGAACTGTGACCACGCACAGAGCAGGCCCAGCAGCCTGCTGAGGGGCAGAGCCGCCCCCCACCCCCCGCGCCTGCCAGGTAGGTGGAACTGTGACCACCGACAGAAAAGGCCCAGTGGCCCGCGGCGGGACAGAACTTCCAATCACTCCTGCAAGGTAGGCGGGCCTGCGACCCACCGGCAGAAGAGGAGCAGCGGCCTGCTGAGAGGCAGAGCCGCCCCCTCCCCCTGTGCCGGCAAGGTAGAGGGAACTGTGACCACCCACAGAACAGGCCCAGCGGCCTGCTGAGGGGCAGAGCCGCCCCCCACCCCCCGCGCCTGCCAGGTAGGCGGAACTGTGACCACTGACAGAAAAGGCCCAGTGGCCCGTGGAGGGGCAGAGCTTCCAATCACTCCTGCAAGGTAGGCGGGCCTGCGACCCACCGGCAGAAGAGGAGCAGCGGTCTGCTGAGAGGCAGAGCCGCCCCCTCCCCCCCGCGCCTGCAAGGTAGACGGAACTGTGACCACCATCAGAACAGGCCAGACCTGCAACTGAGAGACAGAACAGGCCCAGTGGCCTGAGGAAGGGTAGAGCCGCCCCCCCCCCCGCGCCTGCAAGGTAGGCGGACCTGTGACCCACTGGCAGTACAGCCCCAGAGGCCTGCAGAGGGGCAGTGCCGCTGCCTGCGCCTGCAAAGTAGACAGAACTACGACCACCGACAGAACAAGCCTAGCGGCCCACAGAGGGACAGAGCCGCCGCCCGCGCCTGCAAGGTCGGCGGACCTGCTACCGACCGGCAGAGCAGGCCCAGCGGCCTGCCGGCGTGGTAGGCACATTGCCCCAATTGGAGGAGGGGCAGAGCCGCCGCCCGCGCCTGCGAGGGAGACTTTGCAACTATACAAGACCAATATAAATATATAGGGGGAAAATTCAATAGCACAACAGTTTCACCAAGTAGAAAGGAACGCGAACAGTATGAAGAGACAAGGAAAGAAAGGACCACAAGCATTGCAGGTCAACTCAACGTTAGAAGAGGTAATAGCTGCAGCAGATGGAATGTCAGATAAAGAATTCAGGATATACATGCTTCAGATGATCTGGAGTCTCAAGGAAGACATCAGACAGCAAAATCAGACAATGAAAGATCACTTCAACAATGAATTACATAAACAAATCCAAGAAGCAAAAGATCAACTATACAGGGAAATAGAGGTTATAAAAAACAAACAAACAGAAATCCTAGAAATGCAGGAAGCAATAAGCCAACTTAAAAACTCAATTGAGAATACTACCAGCAGAGTAGAACACTTAGAAGACAGAACATCAGACAATGAAGATAAAGTATTTCAACTTGAAAAGAACATAGACAGCTCAGCAAGACTGTTAAGAAACCATGAGTAGAACATCCAAGAAATATG